CTGACGTTTCTGCAACACCCATGTTCATCGCAGCACTATTTACAATAGCCAAAAGATGGAAACAACCTAGGTGTCCATCAACTGAGGAACGGATATCCAAATTATGGTACATACACACAATGGAATACTATGCAACCGTAAAGAATAATATAGAATCTGCAAAACACCACATAATGTGGATGAACTTGGAGGACATTATGATGAAATAAGTCAATCACAAAAGGACAAATACTGTATTAATCCGTTACTGTAAAAGTCAAGGAAATGCTTATCCATGGAAGGACATTTTCTTTGCTGGTTACCAGGGGTGGGAGGGGAGGGGAGGGAATACTGTTAGATAGATAGAGATAAGTTTTGATTTGGGTGAAGAGAAATGTACCAAATGTGAGTGATCAATATAGTGGCATTGAGGAAGAGAAAGACATAGAGAGGTACTTGGGAAGGACAGACAACAAAGATGAACCCTTTTGAGCATATAGTACGGCATGGTTGGTTAAGGCAAACACAGGTATATGGATGGATAGATGGGTGGACAGGCTGAAATATTAGGTATGTCTATGAAGTGTGGAGTGCACCCAAGAACATGTATAGGGTTGGCAGACAGTGGTCCAATAACTTTACGTGTATGATCTGAATTCCCAGGTGTATAATGGTGCTGACAAGGCGCAAGGTTGTAGTCACTGCTTGGTCATAGCCAGCTACCCAGAGGGATTGAGTAGTTGAACCTATGGGCTCGGGACCTAGTCCCAGAGGACATCAAGCTCAATTGGCATAACATACTACACAAAACATTGTTCCACCTCCTACTGCGGCGAGTAGTGACTGGGATCTTTAAAGCTTGCAAGCTGCCATCTAGATGCACTGATGGGTCTCTCCTCATCCAAAGTGAAGAAGAATGAAGAAAACCAAAAATTCATGGAAACAATTAGTCCTAGCAACTGGTACACCATCTGATCTGCAGCCTATACGACTATGAGACCAGAAGAACTAGATGGTGCATGGTGCCTGGCTACTACTGCCAACCACTTGGAAGAGGATCTATGTAGGAGATCCTGGATAGACAGGGAGAACAATGTGGAACAAAACTCAAAATCATTTGGAAAGAAAAAAGGGGGGGGGACCAGGTTTGCTGGCCTGATAGAGACTGGTGGAACCACTCAGACTATGGCCCCTAGATGCCCTTCTGGTCTGGAATTGAACGCACACCTGGCTTCCAGCTAAACAATAGAAAGGCATATGAGTTGAACACTTACCTGAAGTAGATACACTCCTTTGAAAGAATAAGCATGAGAGAAAGAAGGGTTGCTTATGCACAGGGAGACAGATCAGGGGGCAGTAGTGCATGGAGGAATGGACGCAGGGAAGAGGTAACTATTTGGAGGAGGTGGGAGGGGAGATGTTGCATTGTGGTAATTTGTGGTCAATGTCATGAGACAAAGTGTATGTGAACTGCTGTGTGGAAAGTGTATTTGTAAATTTTCACCCAAATCACAATGAAAAGAAAAAAAAAAGGTTAAAATGACAAATTTTTCTACAAAAAAAAATAAAAGTAAATAAATAAAGTATAACTCTTCTTCATTCTTCCTCATTCATTGCCCAGTTCTCACATGCATAAGAGGCAACTGAAAATACCATGGCTTAGGTTAAGCAAATCTTAGTCTTCAAGGAGATATGTTTGGTCTTCAGCACTTGAAAGAGGTCTTTTGCAGCAGATACACCCAATGCAATACATCTTCTGATGTCTTGACTGCTGCCTCCATTGGTGTTAATTGTAGAACCAAGTAATAAGAAGTCCTTGACAACTTCAATCTTTTCTCCATTTATCATAATGCTATTTATTGGCCCAATTGTGAGGATTTTTGTTTTATTATTGAGGTGTAATGTACACTGCAGACAGTAGTCTTTAATCTTCATCTGTAAGTGTTTCAAGTCATCTTCACTTTCAGCAAGCAAAGATGCATCATCTGCGTATTGCAGATTATTAATGACTCTTCCTCCAATCCTGATACCACATTCTTCTTCACATAATCCAGCTTCTTGCTCAGCATACAGGCTGAATAAGTATGGTGAAAGGATACAACCTTGATGCACTCCCTTCTTGATTTTAAACCACGCAGTATCCTTCTGTTCTGTTTGAACGACAGCCTCCTGATCTATGTACAGGTTCCTCATGAGTACAATAAGTGTTCTGGAATTCCCATTCTTCTCCATGTTATCCATAATTTGTTATAATCCATACAATCAAATGCTTTTGCATCGTCAATAAAACATAAGTAAACATCTTTCTGATATTCTTTGCTTTCAGCCAAGATCCAGCTAACATCAGCAATGATATCCCTCGTTCCACATCCTCTTCTGAATCCAGTTTGCAATTCTGGAACTTCTCTGTCAATATACATTTTTGAAATATCTTCAGTAAGATTTTACTTGCATGTGATATTAATGATATTGTTGGATATTTTCCACATTCTGTGGGATCACCTTTCTTTGGAATGGGTCAAAATATGGATGTCTTCCAGTCAGTTGGCCAGGTAGCTGTCTTCCAAACCTCGTGGCATGGCCAAGTGAGGGCCTCCAGTGAGGAATCCGTTTGTTGAAACATCTCAGTAGATATTCTGTCAATTCCTGGAGCCTTGTTTTTCACCAATTCCTTCAGTGCAGCTTTGACTGCTTCCTTCAGTAACACTGGTTCTTGATCATATGCCACCTCCTGAAACAGATGAACATCGACCAATTCTTTTTGGTACAATGACTCTGTGTATTCCTTCCATCTTCTTTTCACGTTTCTTGCATCATTCAATATTTTGCCCATAGACTCTTTCAATACTGCAACACAAGGCTTAATTTTTTTCTTCAGCTCTTTTAGCTTGAGAAATGCCAAGCGTGTTCTTTCCTTGTGGTTTTCTAACTCTAGGTCTTTGCACATTTCATTATAATAATCAACTTTGTCTTCTTGAGCTGCTCTTTGAAATCTTCTGTTCAGCTCTTTTACCTTTTCATTTCATCTGCTTTAGCTACTGTCCATCAAGGGCAAGTTTCAGAGTCTCTTCTGACATCGATTTTGATCTTTTCTTCATTTCCTGTCTTTTTAATGACCTCTTGCTTTCTTTGTGGATGATGTTCTTGATGTCATCCCACAACTCCTCTGGTTTTCAGTCACTGTTGTTCAACACATCACATCTATTCTTTAAATGGTCTCTCAATTCAGATGGGATATAATCAAGGTCATGTTTTGGCTCTCATGGACTTGTTTTAATTGTCTTCAACATCAACTTGAACTTGCATGTGAACAGTTGATGGTCTGTTCCACAATCAGCTCCTGGCCTTGTTTTGGCTGAAGATAATGAGTTTCTCCATCACTTCTTGCCACAGATGTAGTCGATCTGATTCCTGGGTACTCCATCTGGTGAAGTCCACATGTATAGCCACCGTTTGTGTTGTTGAAAAGAGGTATTTGCAATGTATAAGTCATAGGACTTGCAAAATTCTATCATGCGATCTCCAGCGTTATTTTGATTACCAAGACCATATTTTCCAACTACTGGTGATTCTTCTTTGTTTCCAACTTTTGCATTCCAATCACCAGTGATAATCAACACACCTTGACTGCATGTTTGGTTAATTTCAGACTGTAGAAGTTGGCAAAAATCTTCAATTTCCTCATCTTTGGCTTTGGCGGTTGGTGTGTGTATCTGAATAACAAAAACAAACTGCTGTCAAGTCAACTGTGACTCAGTGACCCCTTTTTGGGTTTCCAAAGCAGTATCTCTATGGAAGTAGATTATTGTCCAGTCTTTCTTCTGAGAAGTGGTTGGTTTGAATCTCCAGCCTTCTGGTTAGCAATCAAACGCTTTAAGCATTACACCACCAGAGCTCTCTATTTGAATAACAATAGTATTAACTGGTCCTCATTGCAGGAGTATGGATATTATTCTACCACTGACAGCAGTGTACTTCAAGATAGGTCTTGAAACACTCTTTATGATGATGAATGCCCTGCCATTCCTCTTCAATTTGTCATTCCTGGCATAGTAGATCATATGGTTGTCTAATTCAAAATGGCCAAAACCAGTCCATTCCAGCTCACTAATGTCTAGGATGTCAATCGTTTTGTGTTCCATTTCATTTTGTTTTTCTAAATTTTATTTTTAAGAGCTTGTTTCACATTCAATGTTATGTGCACATTTAGTTTCACTCCCCATTTACCATGTCCAACCCTAACCCAGGCTTCTCCCCTCCCTACCCAGTAACCCTCCCCCGTGTCCCTCATATTTACGCAATTGTTTGTCCTGCATTTCCTCAATTTGAATGTTTGTCCTCTGGTGCCCCATGGTCTATTGCTTTAAGGGATGTATAACCATAGAGTATGGGGGTGCATCATGTTGGGTTGAATGGTCTGCATGTACATCTTGTTAACTACTGGGTTGAGAGCCAGTCCTTGGGAGTAAGCTTTATTCCAGGTGCAGAATGTATCCCAGGGCCATAGTATTAAGGGTCTCATCAGACTCCATCTGACCAGTAATTCTGGTCATTACTGAGTTTTTGGATTTTGTTGCACATTTTTCCTCCCACTCTATTCAGGATCTCCAGATTTGATCCTTTCCTGAGTGGCTGGCATTGGTAGCCAGGCACCATCTAGTTCTTCTGGTCTTGAGGGCTATTGGTGTCCTAGGGCTGATTGCTTCCAAATGCCCTTGGTTTTTTTTGCACTCTTCTTTGCTTCCAACAATAGGAGATCATTAGCTGCATGTCAGATGGCCGCTTGAAAACTTTTAAGACCCCAGTCGCTACTCACCAATGTAGGATAAGGAACAAGGCTTTCGTGTATTTTGTTGTGCCAGCTGAATCTGGTGTCCCCCAGTACTATGGTCCTGAGATAGTAGATCTGTTGGATCTCTCTCCCACAGTGTCTGGGTCTGTGAGGGATTACTCTGTCTGTCTTCTATTGTTTCTGTAAGGAAACAATATTTTGTATCACTGGTATCTGTGCAAGATTAACCTCCGCTGAATCCATCCTTGGTCTAGAGTGTACTCCTGTTCACTGACCCCCATCTGATCCTCTCAGGTGTTTATGTGTTTATCTGTAGCCTGGTGTTTGGTCTTAACGGTAATGCAGTAATTATGGACTCAATGGTTGGTATTAGCATCTGTCATCTACCTCTTATGTGCACAATTTGGTGTCCTCTCATTTCCTAATGTTATCACGGTGGTCACAAACCCTTTCCGTATATACCTCCCCAAATCCACATCAGCGTGTGGGCCCCAACTAGCCTGCAATTAATCCCTCCCCTTCCATTTCATTTTTGACAACTTCCAATTTTCCTAGATTCACACTTTGTACATTCCATGTTCAGATTATTAAAGGATGTTTGCAGGTGTTCTCATTTTGAGTTGTGCCACATCAGCAAATGGAGGTCCCAAAGGCTTTACTCTATCCACATCATTAAGACTGGCTCTACTCTGAGTAGGCAACTCTTCCCCAATCGTATTTGGAGTACCTTCTGACCTGAGGGGCTCATCTTCTGGCATTATATCGGACAATGTTTCAGGGCTATTCATAAAGTTTTCCAGTGATATATCAGACAGTGTTTCATTGCTATTCATAAGGTTTTCATTGGCCAATTCTTTGAGAAGGTGATGGCCTCTTCCTTCTTTCAAAGTCTGTCCTAGTCTGGAAGTTCCATTGAAACCTGTCCACCATGGGTGACCCTGCTGGCATTTGCAACACTGGTAGCATAGCCTCCAGCCTCCTAGCAGCACATAAGCTACCACAGGACAACAAACTGACACACAAGTTCATCTCCCTTAGCTGGTCTGAACCGCTCTGCTCACTACCTGAGCTCCCTTAAAGCCTCTCAAACCCCGTGCCCAGCTCTGTTTCCTCTATGTCACTAAAGGATAGTAATTCTACCTGTAAGTCCTCTGAAACCATCTCTTCTAGTTCCCACTAAAACTACTTAATTCAGATGTTCAGTTATTTTGGCCTAACTGCTTTTTTCCCCCTTTAGCCATTCTATAAGGAGCTCTGGTGGTGCACTGCCTACTGCATTCAACTGCTAAAGAGAGTTGGTGGTTAAACTCACTACCAGAATAAAGATGAAGCAATCTATTTCTGTAAAGATTTACTGCCTTGAAAACCCACTGGGGGTCACTATGAGTTGGAATCAACTCAATGTCAATGGGTTGGTTTTTTTTTTTTGGTTTAGCCATCCTATATGCATTGCCAAATTAACATTTCTAAATCATTTCTCTGCTCGAAAAATTTTTCATGAGGTTGTGTGACCTTGGGCAGGCTTCCTAACTTCTCTGAGCTAGTTTCCCCTTTGAAAAATGGGAATAATATTATCAGTACAGATTTCACTATCCAACACAGTAGCTATAGCCACATGTGGCTATTTCAATTAAAATGAAGTTAAATTAAAATTTTTGTTCCTCAGTTGCACTTGCAACTCAGTACTCAAGTGCTCAGTAGTGACGTGATTATTGTATAGAATAGTGAAGACATAGGGTATCTCCATCACTGTGGTAAAGTTCTATTGCACTGAGATGAGCAGTTATTGTAGAGATTTCACTGACATAGCACAAGTAAAAACTTAAACACATTGCTGATGCATAATAAACGGAAGCTTTTATTATCATGTGTTAAATATCAGGAGCTCTAGTACCCAGCTGCTAACTAAAGGGTCAGCAGTTCAAACCCACCAGCTGCTTCACAGGATAAAAATGAGGCAGTCTGCTTCTGTAAAGATTTACAGCCTTGGAGTTGTACTCCATCCTAAATGGTAGCTATGAGTCAGAATCGACTCAGTGGCCATGGGTTTGAGTTTTTTGGTTAAACGGTCTAAAATAACACTTTCAGAAAGGTTTATTCAAGTACTAATTGATATGATACATGTAAAGTACTACCAGAGCTATCACAGTGCTATTCTATCAATAAATGTTTGTTCTTCCTGTTGTTGTTGTTGTTGTTGTTGTTATTTGACGTCGAGTCGGTCCCAACTCATAGCGACCCCTCCTTGGGTTTCCAAGGCAGTATCACTACGGAAGTAGGATTGCCCAACCTTCCTTCCGAGGAGTGGCTGGTGGGTTTGAACCGCCAGCCTTCTGGTTAGCAGTCAAGTGCCTTAGGCACTATGCTACCAGAGCTCTTCCTGTAGAAACTAAAAAATGAATTACCTGCTTTAAGAGTTTACAAAATGGTAGTCTTCAGACCCGCCTAAACTTGCACCTTTTGTCAAGTCCTGAAAGTCACATATAAAGAAAATAAGATGCTGCTGTTCCAATTCATGTTTTAAGTGTATGTACAATTTCAAGTCTATCCACCAATATTGTTCAAGGGCAGAAGAACACTGTGATATTGCATTGTCTGTTCACAGGTTATTTTTCTTTAAAGAGTTGATGTTCATATTTTTTCAATGATATTGTACTATCCAAAGTCCTTTCTCTAATTAGATAACCTTCACTAGTCTCAAAAAGAATAAAAGAAAAAAACATTTGGTTTCCTTCTATAGAAGATGAAAAAATGACAATGAATGGTAGTTTATTAGGTTAAACAAAATAAATATAAAAAATATACTATGTGTGATTCCATGTAAAAAAATACAAGCTTTAAGATCACATTTATCTAAGTACAAATCCTAGCTTTACCACTTCCCACTTGTATGATTTAAGGGAAGTTACTTAACTTCTCTGAGCTACAGTATTCTAATCTGTACAATAGTCATCTCAAAGGGTTATTCTTTTGACTAAAACAGGGTTCTTGTTAGGTGCCATGGAGTCAGTTTTGATGCACAGTGCTCAATGTACAACAGAATGAAACACTGCCTGGTCCTGGCCATCCTTTACAATCATTGACATGCTTGAGCCCATGGCTGAAGCCACTGTGTCAATCTATATTGTTGAGGGTCTTCCCCTTTTTCACTGACCCTTTACCTCCCTTTGAGGGACAAAGTCTGGTTATTCCTGCTTTTAAGGAGAATTCCGGCTATACTTCCTCCACGGCAGATTTATTTGCTCTTCCAGCAGTCCGTGTTACATTCAGTATTCTTTGCTAACACCACAATTCACATGCAGCAATTCTCCTGTGGTCTTCCTTATGCATTGTCTAGTTCTCATAGGCATACGAAGCTATTGAAAATACCATCGCTTGGGTCAGGCACATCTTACTCTTAAAAGTGCCATCTTTGCTCTTAAACACTTTAAAGAGGTCTTTTGCAGCAGATTTGCCCAATGAAATAGGATTACTTTAGAATAAATGATAGCTGATTTATCAATTCGGTACAGCCATTCGGTACTACTCACAGCTATGAGGAGTGACAATCCTTATTTCTTTCTATACACAAATCATCTTGGATTTGTATCTCTTTTGGCTTTTGAAGATTCCAGTTGTTTAAACTGACAACTAGAAGAGAAGCAAGGCTTAAAATGTTTTACCAGATTGGTAAAGAAAACTGTAAATTAAGTGCATGACCTAGGAGAAGAAAACTACTATTGCCCATGAGTGTTCACCTTGGAAGTTTGGCTGGGTAACTGCTAAGCAAGCAAAGTTAGAATTTTAATGGTTAATAATTCAAGAAACCTTTCAAAATGTTTGAAAACATGCAGAAATAACCTCCACACAAGGAACAAGACTGTTTAACAAAATGTTCTTGCACCTCTCATTTATCATCTATGCTTTTTTTGAATTCTAGGAATCCGAACTGCACTTCCAAGTTTTAAATTTCACAAATGTTTAAATCCCACTAGTAATGAGATGAGGCGCTCTGGTAGCATAGTGCCTAAGGCATTTGACTGCTAACCAGAAAGCTGGCAGTTCAAACCCACCAGTTACTCCTCAGAAGGAACGTTAGGTAATCTACTCCTGTAGTGATACCGCCTCGGAAACCCAAGGAGGGGTCACTATGAGTCTGGTCCGACTCAAGGCACATAACAACAACAGTAACAAGATGAATTCCTTTTGCTGAATTCTTTCAACGGTGACTGCTGAAAAATAATAAGAAAGCAGACTTTGGACATTCCAAGTGAACAGAGAAGAAGCCCTATGCTTCGTCTAGAGGTACAAAGAACTATCAAGTACAAAACAAAGAAAATGGTGATTTTTCTAAAATATAAATTGATCGCTTGACAAATGTAATATTCTAATATACAGTCTAATATACAGTTAAATCCTAACGAATCTAGACGGTCATGCAACTTTTTTTTAATACTGGATCAAATGCTGTACAGAGAGAAATGCAGAGAATCCAAATTACAGAGCTGAGTTTGGGTACTAAAACCAAACTCGCTGCCATGAAGTCAACCGACTCATAGTGACCCCTCCTTAAGTTTCCAAGGCGGTGTTCTCTATGGAGTAGATTACCCAATCTTCCTTCTGAGGAGTGGCTGGCTAATGGGTCTGAACCGGCAGACTTCTGGTTAGCAGTCAAATGCCTTAGGCACTAAGGCCACTAGTTTACTAATTAAAATTTAAGAGAACTGAAAATGCATCCTTACGTAAAGCACAGTTGTGAGGAAACACATGCCCCGTAGCAATTCACCTTTCGGTATCGGACCCACCCACGGCGACAGAATTGTGCTTACACTGAGCTCCGTGTAAACAAACTACAAGGTCACCACTGATCTCAATTTCACACACACCTCTCAAGGAATCTGATTCTAGGAATGACAACAGTAATGCATACTCAGCTGCAGTTTTTATAGGTCTGGGGCAAAGGTTCTGGGGAACTAGATAAAGGTTAGCTGCCATTTAAGACAAGTAAGTAACAGAGGAATTATTTAGACCACCGCCTTTTTCCGAAGGCAGGAAGCACTCCAGCAAGGATCTAGGGTCAGCTTTGCCTGGGGCGGAGACAAGATTCCGGAGGCGGAGCCTGGCGCGTCTGGGGACTTACTGGAGCTGGAGGTCGGGGAGAGGTTGGCCCCGGAGATATGAGCCCAACCAGCCCTGCTCCATCCGCTCCGGGTCCCCGGCGCCCGGCCGCGGCTCCAACCACGATCTGGTCCCTCTCTGGCGTCTCGCGGTGTAGCTTCTGGAGGCAGAGAATGCCAGCACTCTACTCGCTACGGGGGTGGGGGCTTAGGACTGCTCCCACTTCTTCAACCCATCCGATTCCATTCTCTGACGCACTCTCTCATTCTCCTTTCGGCCTACCTTGCACTGAAGACCATCCAGCGCAGCTCGCGGACGCCGAAGCCTGTCCGTAGGATGGACAAGAGGCGGCGCCTGGAGCGCGCTCCCGAGCAGCTGGACCAGCCCCCAGGGCGCGCTCACCTCCCCGAGAACCGCGCTCGCGCCTCCGCTCGTTCCGACCCTGTCTCCCTTTACGGCAACCGCGAAAGTGTCGTGAGCGTGCTGCCACCGATCACAGTCACCCAGTCGGCTGGAGCCAGAGGTTCTTATTTCTAAGGGTGTGCACTTTGGGTTCAGGGTAAGGCTGCTGTGCTCGGTCTTGGGAAAACCGCGAAGGTGTCAAGGACGTTGTGGGGGGCAGAACTGCGAGGAAGGGTGGAGAGACGACTGGATGCTCTGAGGTGGGCATTGGTACATAGCTGTGTACTCACGCGAAGCGAAAGCAGTCCTTTTTCCTGGCGTAGGTTGGCGTCGCGCGCAAGTTGTAGGGAGGGCTAGGGGCAGCTGCCCCTCTGGCCCCATTTGTAGAGGGTGATGTGGCGAAGCATCTGCGCGGGAACCTGGGAGCTGTTGTGTGGGCTGGGGGTCGAGGTGAAGACAGTCTCGGCGGGCCAAGCAGGGCCGGGCGGGCGGAGGACTGGAGGCGCTGCCCTCGCGGAACCGACCTTGCCTGTCAGGTCCACACCCTCCTGCCCCGGTGCTGCCAAGTCCCCAAACCGTGTTACACCCTGTACCGGAGTTGCCTTCCCTTTGAAGTGCGGTGCTGGTATTTCGTGTCTGGGCCACGCTTCTCGGTCAGCAACTTTTCTAGAAATTTCAGCTTACATTGACAGGCTCTGAGATTGCCCGCTAGGGTTTATTTCACCAGTATTCTTGGAAGGAGAAAGGACAAGCTACCGTTTGTCGGTGTTCTTGGGAACACTGGATAAGTGGAATTTTTCCATTGAACGAACATGTTTAACTTGTTTTCTGCAGTTCAGTGCTTGGCGTATTTGTGTCATTTTACCGTTTTGCATCATTAAATATTGAACTCTGGTTGAAGTCTCTCAGTTCCTCAGTAAATCCATATTAGTATAGTAGATAAATTGAGAGTTATTTTTCCACAAATATTTGTGTCTTGGACATGGACAAATAATATAGATTCAGTTCCTGGTCTCAAACTAGTAGGAATGTATTCAGTAAGTTTGTATTGAATTGATTAACTTTATCACGTTAGACTGTGGTGAGGGCACCTAGAGCGTATTTAGAACTATTGGCGTTCATGTAACGTTCCAGAGATTGACGTTCTAAAAGCGTTTTCTTTCACATATTTCTTCTGTGCTGAGTAAAAAACAAACAAAAAAAATTGTTAAAGCTGCTTATCACATCTTGTCTTTACAACCCTTCCACTTAAGAAATAAATTAGATCAATTTGCCTCTGATATTATCCTGTCCATTCTTTTGACAGACACTTTTTTTATTTGTTATCCAATTAATAGGTTATTGCTGAGAATTTACAACTGTGGTTTCATAAACTCGTTCTCCTTCCTGTCTCACCCCGGTCTCTAAAAATGTGCATTATAACTTTATTAAGTGTTTGAAATATTACCCCAAACTTTTTTTTTTAAATAACCCCAATTATATTTTATTGCATAGTTAATTTCTTCTCTAGACAGTGGTGGATTTGTCCTTTCAAGCTGGTTAAAGGTGCTGGTGATGTTCTTTCTGAGGGTCATTGCTGTGCTGTCTTTTTTAAGGGCACAGGGAAATTATGAAATGCCACGCTTTTCTCTTCCCCCTTTGAAGCAATTTCCTTTTCTTTTTTTTTTTTTTTAAGGAATGAAAGATTTCACTTCGGCAACACAGTAGTTCTAAACTATATTACACAGCACTGTTTTTGCTTCCAAGTTGGCTGAAAAGGCTTTTGTGTTTATAAACTTGCTGTATGTATCTATCACTTGTTAAATAATGCTAAACTTAATCTTGTGATCCTATTAGTTTTCTTTTTCAACTGCTCTTTATCATTTGCCCTGACTCCCTAATAGTGTTAGCCATTAGTATTTTTCTTTGGTTATGCCACAAAGGTTGGGAAGATCTGTAAACATACTGCCAAATCTGAGCAGCTCAAAACTTGG